TATCTATAGGCATTGTTTCATTGTTATAGTATATTTTAATTGAATTAGGTTTTACAGCTTTTTTTGAAAATATGACTACCTTACTTTTTTCATTGTTCACATCTAGATTGAGATTTTGAAAATATTTTTGTAGGCTTTTTAGGGCAGTATTAAGTTTATTTTGGATATCCAGCTTATTCAAACCTGAACAATAGACTACCAAGTCATCAGCGAATTGTAGGTTAGAAACATTATTACCTAAAACAATATTCAATTGATGGATGTATAAAATAAACAACAAGGGACTTAATATCCCACCTTGAGACACTCCTTTATAGGAATATCTTGGACCAATTAACTGTTTATTGATTTTCACAAATATCTTACGGCCATTTAAAAATTTGTAAATCCAATTTACTATTTTTGCAGGTATATTTAATGATAACAAAACTGAATATAAAACACCTAAATCAACATTATTAAAAGCCCCTACAATATCGAAGAAGACACATGCCATAATTTTATTCTGAGACAGAGTATCATGGATGTCCAGACACAAATGGCTTAGACTCTCCCGAGCAGAACGGCCACATCGGAAGCCAAATTGGTTAGATGGTAAGATATAATTGTTTTCTATATGAAATGTCAGTCTTTGTTTTATTAACTGCTCAAAAATTTTACCTACACAAGAGCTGAGTGTGACAGGGCGATATGAGTGAGCAGAATTAGAATCCTTCCCTTTTTTTAATATTGGAACCAAACAATCTGTCTTCCATTCTTCTGGTATAATAGACAGAGACCAAAACAAGTTTAAAATATTTAAAAAAATTTCGAGACTGGTATCATTCAACAGTTTGAACATTTTATATGACAACCAATCTAATCCACAAGCAGTTTCCTTCCTAGAATTTAAAGCAGATTTTAATTCTTGAAGTGAAAATGGTTCTATCATGTAAGAGTTAGTATTATTAACTTGAGTGTCTGGCAGAAGATTGCTATCATTTTGGACAGTATCTGGTGTATATTTGTACAAAAAATCAGAACTCCATTCATAATTGGAAAACAATGTGATATTAGAGGTAGAACCTTTTAATTTTCTCATTTGAGTCCAAACTTGACTCATCGGTGTTAATCTATTAACAGAGGTACAAAATTCAAGCCAAGACTGACAGCGCTCCTGACGTAAAGTGCGTTTTTTTAGAGCTTGCGCCTTTTTGAAGTTAATATAGTTACATAAAGAAGGACTGGATTTAAACAGTATATAAGACTTTTTGCAATTTTGAACCACTTTAGCACAATTATCATTCCACCAAGGAAGTGTTCTTTTTTTAACCCCTGACAAGTGACCCACCTTATTATGTTTACTATTATTTATACTAGTTATTGAGTCCTGAGCTACTTTATTAATAATTGAACAGAAATTATTATATGATTCCAATATGTTTGAGTTATTGATTTGGAAATTTATCAAGTTATCATTTATGTGTTTTTTATATAAATTCCAATTTACTAGTTTCAGATTAATATGTGGAGGAATGTTCGAAGACTCAACAAAGGACACACCATCACTCATGTCAAGAGAATATTTTGTTATAGTCGGCAGATGATAACTGCCTAAGGAATCATTATGTATTGACCACTCACAAGACAAAACTAAGCACGAAGAGACCATAGTGAGATCTAGGCCGTTGGGCCTCCAGATGTGAGAACCTACTGTTGTTGGCATCCCGTTGTTTAAGAGTACTAAACCATTCTCATCCAAGGAATCCATGATGTCTCTGCCTCGAGAATCAGTACTAGAACAACCCCAGAAAGTATGATGAGCATTAAAGTCACCAGCTATAATCAACGGCTTTGGAACACTATGCAAGAGAGAATCAAATTTGTGTTTTGAAAAATTTGCACTACCAGGACTGTAAAAACTTATAATCGAAATAAATTTATTTTTTATTTTTATTTTGATTGAAATATTTTGCAAAGTATCATCATAGAAAGTTTGTAGCTGCTGAAAATTTATACCATTTTTAATGACGATGGCTACGCCATTGTGATCATTTCCACAATCATTTCTGATTATGTTATATCCGCGTATTTCAATTTTTATATTGGGTTTGAGCCAAGTTTCCGATATTAGAGCTATGTGTATATTATTATCGTAAAGAAACTTTTGGAACTCAAGTTTATTATTTAGCAAACTTTGTGCATTCCACTGTACAATATTAACACAATTCAGGAATGTGGAGGGGAATTATTTTTATTTAATAGAGTTTCTTTTATTGCACTACTTATTGATTGAGAACTAATACTAGCATTTTCTGTTTTGTTCAATGTGATTACTTTGACAATTGCTTCAGTGATGAGATTTAATGCAGAACTATTTTTTAAAACTAATTCCATTATGTCATGAGTATTTTCTGTTTTATTTAAAGATGGAAAATTATTTGATTTTGATGCATCTGAGTATTTATTTACAGTTTTGTTTCTATTTTCATAAATTTTCTTTAATTTGATTGGGCACTGTCCTGATATCGCTAAGTGGTTACCCTTACAATGTATACATATTGCTTTATCTACTGGAACTGTACATTCCTTAAAAGAGTGACCCTCTGTACAAATAGAGCATCTTTGAGCATTTTTACAGAATTTTGCTAGGTGATCATATTTAAGACAACGAAAACATTGCTTTACTGGAGGGATATATGGAATTACTGGAAGGCGCCACATTTTAATATGTACATAATCTGGTAGGCATGTTGCCGCAAATGTTATTACAACAGTTTGAGTGGGTTGTAATTCGAAACTGTTACTGCTAGTTTTATTTTTACGCATTATACGTCTGACACAAATAATTTTCTTTGAGCTGGACAATGCTTTATAAATTTTTTTATTGGACATATCTATGGGTACTGATGTAATAACTCCAGATAATTCGGTACATCCTGCAGGAATTGAAGCTTTAATGGACTGTTCCCTCAAAAATGTGGAATTATCCATAAATGCATTTGCTAAATTTGGTCGATCAAAAACTACGCCAATTTTAAAACGGTTGATTTTTTTAAGTACTTTATGCCCTTTACAAATCTAGATAGACAACCACTCAGGTACATCATGTCCCTGCTACCCAGAGGCTGTTCAATAGAACTTTCAATAAAGACTACAAATTCGAAACCAGTCGCAGCATCTTCAGGATACCTTCTACTGTAATCCGAAACCCTATATGGAACATATTTTTCCTTTTCATCATTTGCAATATTTGCACTGAATGTGTCGGAATAACTAGAGTTGCTACTCTCTGAAATAGTATCTGGAAAGATCTCACCCGAGCAGCTCTCTCCTTCATCTTTCTTTGGTTTTTTCCGCTTTTTTGTCATTTCAATTTAATGTCTAACTATAAATATACAACGACTGCTTATAAATAATATTTATACTTAAAAATCTACTAAAAATTTACACTATTTATTGAAGAATTTACAAAAAATATTTAAAGATTTCGAAAGAAGCGCCCTACTATTTCGAATGTTTCCCGCGAAAAAACAAAACCATAGAGCACAACACTGGATAGTGGACTGAATTCAATTACAAAAAAAAAGGTGAGGTTGTAATATCTTTTTATTCTAGCAACATGCATTACATTGATAAATGTCAATAAAATAATTATATAGTTAACGGAGATAATTGAAAGTATATGGAAATAACTTTATGCTGTTTACTAATTTTGTGTGATTAGGAAAGAACAATAGTTAAAAGTTTTTTTTTTAATACAACAACTATATTATAGTATTTTTATTACAAACAACACTGAGCTCACTTGTTTTTCAAGTCTTGGGATGTTTTATGCAGCTTTCTTTGAATTTGACGCTTTCATACAAAAATTCATAAAAGCCGGTTCACAATTGACAAAGATATCGTTAAATATATGTACAATTGTACATACAAAAATATAGGTAATAAATTTAAGTCGAACCGGCCACATCCTCTTCCTGAATTCAATAAATTAAAATTAAAAAGAAGACCCGCCTACGTGAAAAACAACAAAATGAAAAGACATTAAAAAAAATATGCAATATCATACATAAAATGCAGGCGGAAAAATGAAATTGATATCAATTAAGTACAGTTAGTTGTTTTTCAAGCAGGCGGGATTTTTGTTTTTGTTTTTGCCTTTTTAATTACAATTTTATTTATAATATTTTTAAACTCACACGATTTGTATACATTATAATTATATGTAATCGGGTCTTGTTCGTGCATTTTTTTAAACTATTAATTTACGGCTACGTTACAGTTTTCGGCTTAAATTAATTGTTTTAAAAAATGCACGAACATGACCCGATTACATATAATTATACTTTTATTTATGTCTTTTAGTTATACAAATTCCCAGGTTGGTTAAGAAAGTGAAAAAATAAAGTCCATATTTTAAAACTTTCTCACTGTATTATTTTTATTAGTATTACAGTTATGATAATAATTATATACATTTTTGGAATACTTATATTGAACCCCATAATTTGATACAAAAAATATATCATTAAATATAATGGTGTTTTTTAACGTCACCTATCTAAGAACACTTGGGCTACTAAAACAAAACTTACGATATTTCAATTATCTAAATCCGTTCAACAGTTCCGAAGATATAAGGGAATAAAGAATATTACATATATACATATAAGATACGCGGGAAACACATAACCCTTTTTTGCAGTCGGGTAAAATACCTTTCTACAAATAAAACAGAAGAGACGTAAAAGTAATAAACCATTTTTGGATATTAAGACATCGCTACGTCTGAATTGAGATATATATTACACCCATAACATAATTATTCAATCAAAGCATAATAATATCATTTGCTATACATAATGCTGAATAATATTAGCGAATCATGTCACGTATATCGTGACCAAGTAATAGTATCTTAATTAACTCTTGGTTTACGCCTCAGGGACAACCATGAGTCTCACAAAATTCTTATAATATTTCTTAAAAAACGGAATATGATAATCGGTTCAATTTCATTAGTAAAACATCGTAACGTACATTATGGAAAACTGACCTAAAAGACACCCTTGTGAAACATCTATGCCGGATATGAACAGCTGAGGTTCTAAAAGGTATCCCTGTGAAACATCTATGCCGGATATAAACAGCTGAAGTCCTAGAAGGGATCTAACATACCTGAGCACCATACCATCGGCTCTATCGTCACTCGCTATACTCGGCCTAGGCGAACTGCCCAGACGACTGCTCGCTGATTTTCTGCGAGTCTCATGTGGCTCTGGCTCATCTTTGTTTGTAAAAGAGATTCGTGGTGTGTGCCCACGGAAACCGCCCACTTTGTGGGTGGAAACTCCCCGACATAGCATCTGGCTCTGAGTCAAGTCTGTGAACAAAACAATACACATTTTCAATCACTTTGAAAAAGGAGGTTATAGATTCTAAAGTAGACCTACATATTTTGATGAATATTTATTTGTTAGAGTTTATTCTCTAGGTGTTTTTTGTGTTAAAACTGACTTACAAATTCTATAGTAATTCTCAATAACTACAAAGACTATTAGCAAATACAAAAAACTTCCTGTGACCATCATACCCTCACCCGAATTTAAAGGAAGTTTTCTGATTTTTTATTACATATTAAAACATTTTTCCTAATAGGTTTACGCATTTTATTTTTGAGAATACTAGAGAAAGAAATTCCTTCAACGGGCATAATAATGAAATATATTTTAATCTGTTATTTTTTATGAAGAGGTATACTAAATAGAGCCCTTATTTGCAGGCTGTCCATTAAGGTTTAACTGGTAGCAATCTGCCTTATTTCTACGCTATTCACCTAGGAATGTGGATCTTCTGATAAATAACTGTAGTCCTATGAATAGAATAATATAAGAGTAACTTTCTCGACTTATTCATATATTTTTCGTTGTATGAAATTTTTGCAGATAAACAATAGTAACAACTGCTTCAGGACATAACGATAAGTTATCATTAAAACACATTAGCTTGTATCCTTCAAATTACAAGGCTTTGGTATTGAGAAATGTGAAATTTTACGTATTTCAAATCAGAGAATTTATTGAGACGGCAGTAAAAAATAAGCGACACTAGAAATAGTGTTTCTCCTAGTTGTCTTCTTGGTTTATTAACTTTGCAGCAGAGTGCTTTTAAATTATTCTTAGATAGTGCCTCGTATCTGAATGTCTGAATTAAGTTTCGTAATGTTCTTATATAAACACCTTCGTTCTGTAAATGTAACTTCTGTTAAGCGAGGTGAGCAAACGAATTTCACACATACAGCCATCAGACAGTCCAAACACAATAAGACGAATTCTCTATATCCGATGTAAGGCAATAAAAAAATTCTTCCCTGACTATTTCCCGTCGGGAGACATGGCAAATATTTATCGAGCTAAGGCGGTGAAGCTATGTGTTGCCAATACGTACCTATATCATTAAAGTAGGGCGACACCGGCACCGCCTCACCGGAGTAAATTTGGTTTAACTAATATTTATTTAACGGATTATCTTTCGTGGTTACTGCTTTTGTTTGAAAGCTCGCATATACTATGTCATATTTCAAAACAATTATCAAAGTACATAGAGCAGAGTATAAGGTTACTACAAAAGGCTTCTGTGATAAATTTTAAACTTAACTAATTATAGATAATCGAATCGAGAAGCTTCTCGTTTGAATCTGACGTGTCGATTGGATTGAACAAACGTTTGGATATAACTTAAGGGAAACCTTTTATTTTTAAGCATGTATTTGCTGAGGACGATTCAGGACTACAATACAAAACGATAGACTTTGTCATACATATGAAAATAAAAATTATAGTGGAATTAGAGCTAGATTTATAATTCGTTATTATTTTTTTAATATTTAAAATGTCCACATTATCTTACAATGATAATTGATATTGCACTTGTGCCACTTTTGTCAGGGCATTCGTCATTTCGCAGGCTTATCACATTTTTTTGTATAAAATATATCATTATTTCTTATCGTCTGTGTACGGTATTAGGAATATTAATGTGTTGAATCCCTTAAGACCCGTCTTTACGGTCCTAAACCGTCATAACGTTAAATGTCGATGAGAGAAAACGTTTTCGTTTTATAGTAAAATTATTGGGAATATAGGAAAAAATCCTTTATGTATGCAAATCTCGGATAATAACTCAATTACGAATGTTATTAGATTCATAAATTACAATATGTTTGTAACAATGTAAATTATTGGGTTGGCACAAAAGTAATGAGACACACTAGAAAAATCTATAACATTTCCTTTTTAAAATCAATTTTTTCGATAATATTCTAGAATGTTGTAGAACATTCTAGGTACTTCTGGTGTAGGGTATATAAAGCCGCGCTCGCAATTTGTTTAGTCAGTTTGAAGAAAAATGGACGAGCGACAAGTTCGAACACTATACTTATACGAGTACTTGTTAGGCCACAGTGCGCGGGCTGCGGCTGACAATATCAACAATGCATTAGGCGCTGGAAGTACAAGCCATGCGATGGTGTCCCGATGGCTTGACCGTTTTAAATCAGGAGACAGGAGCCTTGAAAGTCAGCCACGCTCAGGGCGACCACACGCAGTGAATGATGACGATTTGCGCCGCGAACTGCAGTTGAATCCGGATGCTACCACTCGTGAATTAGTGGAAGCACTTAAATGCAGTCACCACGCCGTGGAACACCATCTGCATGAGCTTGGTTATCGAAAAGTTTTGGCTCGGTGGGTACCGCACATCCTTACAGACGCCAGTCGTGCAGTCCGTGTCGCTATCTGTCAGTCACTTTTGCTGCGACCCCGTCGTTAAGAGTTTTTGTCAGATCTGGTTACTGGAGATGAATCATGGATTTATTACGAGAACGATACACGTCGTGCTTTTTGGCTGCCTCGAGAAGAAACGCCACCAACTCAACCGAAGCAGAGTCAAAAGAACCGCCGAAAAATTCTGCTTTGCTATTTCTGGGATGCGCAAGTCATACTGTTTTATGAGCTATTACACAATGAAACTATAAACGCTGACAAATATTCAACCCAGCTTACCAAATTATCTGCCGCTATCAAGAAAAAACGACGAAGACGAGTCAATGTAGTTTTACTGCACGATAACGCTCGACCTCACGTCGCATCTGTGGTTCGCCGGCAGTTGGAGAACTGGGGCTGGGAGACGATACCCCACCCACCTTATTCCCCAGACCTCGCCCCATCAGACTATCATTTGTTTAGAGCCCTGAAACAGCATTTGCGAGGTAAACAATTTAATGATTTCTCTGACGTAGAGGCGGAGTTGAACAACTTTTTCGAGGCACAGCCATTAGAGTTCTGGGCAAAAGGCATCCAAACTTTGCCGGATCGTTGGCAAGAAGTCTTAGATACTAATGGTAATTACATCATTGACTAAACTTTTTTTATTGTAATAATAATAAAAAAAGTAAAAACTTAAACCAAGTGTCTCATTACTTTTGTGCCAACCCGATATTTGATAGAGCGATGCGCTTTCGAAAGATTCGATTGTTTGTATGTTTGTTTGCACCGAATAAGCTCCGAAACTACAGTACCGATTTTAAAAATTCTTTCACTTAGTGGAAGCGACATCATACGGGGTTGACATATCACGCGTGCAAAGTCGCGGGAACAACTTGCTAAAAAGAGGTAAAAATAAGTTTGTTTGTAAGGGACTATCTTCGGATATACTGATCGGATCATAAAAATTTTATCACCCACGGGAACCGATTTTAATTATAAAAGAAAACGTGAAAACTAAAGAAAGAAGTGAAAAAATAAATAATTACTTTCACTAAAAACTAAATTATAATTACTTTCACAAAAGAAAAAAACATAAACAAGCCCAGTAGTTTGGAATGTTATTAAGTACTACTGAATAGCTGCTCCATTGCAATAGTTTTAAAACATATACACACATAAAACATATCATAAAATTCAAAAGCAATATAGATCAACTATATCTAAAAACGGTCTTCGTACACTTCTAATGAATTTTTTAAAGACCTATCCAACAATATCCTACACTATAGGGAAATCGAAAAATAAAGAAATCCCCACTTTACATGTAGGAGAGGTACCCTAAAAAAGATTTATTATTACTGTTATGTGTTTAGTGACACTCGCAAGGTTAAGACAAATCGATTGACGTATAAATCATCAAAATTGGGTTTGGTCTCTACAATGTCATATAGGAACAAACATACATACATAGACTCATAAACACATTACCCTCCTTTGCGTTGCGCATTCGGGTAAAATATTAATTCGCATATGGAAAGCTACATCGTACATACGTGACATAGGATACAATTTATATATGTAGGCGTTGTCATCGCAAAAAAGTGTTTTAAAAATATTTGCACATATGTAAAAAAAACGGTCAATGACAGCGAATCACATTCGCAGAATGTTATGCAAATTATATGAGGCATTAAAGCTTGATTTGGACCGCACTGCAATTATCGCAAGTCAGAAAAGTTTGCGTTTTCATCTATACATAAAACGCATTCGTTTAAAAGTAAAACAGATGACGAGGAAGATATTATTAGTTTATAGTTAAAGCAAAATTGATAAAATATTTCGTATTTATATATATATAAATATTTCGTTGGATATCAGGTGGAATGCCCGAATATTGATGAAAATACGCGCTGTAGGAGCAAAAAAGTAACAAGTGCTTAAAAAATTCGTCAGTACTGTTAGGTCCTACAGGAACAGTGGTAAGAGCAGTCACCTGCAAAGACGAAGTATAGTATTGTGAATGTAAATTTATAAAAAAATAATAGATATAGTATTTTCTTTTCACTTACTTAGATCATTTTTGTAGTGGATTTACTATAACTAAATAACTTCTTGCTCTCTTCGTTGCAATGCATCACAAGAGAGAAAAAAAAAACATTTTGCAAGGTAATTTTGGATGATTGCTAAAATAACCTGACTTTGTGTTTCCGTTACGTCCAGAGTATAAATCTGTAGACAGGTTCTATACTAGTATAATACTAATGATTCAATTGAATTTCTCTATACTTATTTGAAATTTGTTTATTATTCTTTTTATTTTCTCTAACATAATGTATTTTTATTTATTTACTCACATTTTATTATGAACTGATAATTGGATCTTCTTCGGATCATTTTTTATTTTAGGTAGTGTCAGTTTAATTCATTTAATAAAAAATCAGAGCTACCTTTAAATTTGCTCGACATGTTGGAATTAGATGAATATACATTACACCCTTGAAATGGACGTTTAAAATTTGATTACGAGGTTTGGTCAAGGTTTTTGTAACCAAAGAATACTTAGAATAACATTTTCCTTTGATCACAATTCTTATTGAAGTGAATTGACGACAGAATTTTCGCAATCGAAGTGTAATTCA